TAACTGAAACAGTACTACTTTAAATTTAAAAAAAAAAAAAAAAAAATTAGCAGACAATTGTATTCCCCTCTCCTCCAAGGACCACTCTACAGCAAAGCAGCTTTTTGTGGCATACCCTTGGTCAGCATTCTGTTAGTTAGCAAGAGTGAACATACAACTGAATCTTAAACCTTTGTCTATCAAAAAACCTGATAAAACAGCAAAACATGCATTGTGATGCAGCATATATATATACACACACGATCCATGCTCTGCCCCCAAACACCGTTTTCTTTAAATCCATTCAAACTGAACTTTTAAACAGACTAGAATCCATACCATTCAGCCCGTGTCACCACAAAACCACTAGTATCTGAATGAATCACACATGCTTAACCTCACGATTCAATGATCTCAGATCTGACTGTATATTTTTATATCCACACAGGAAAGAGAAGAATAATTTATTGGTAGCTAGTTATGAAGTTATCTTCTTTCTCACATAAATCATGCCTTTTGTTTAAGATACAAAGCATGTGCTTATAAAAGTAAATCTTTCTGGTAAAGGAAATTTTCATTTTTATTTCTCAAAGGCTGTAAATTTAAAACCCACAAAATTATTGCAATTAGAACAGAGGTGCCACCTACACACTATATTTAAGCCTGTCTGTAAATACAGGGAGCACACTAAAACAATGTTTAACTGCTTCTGTCTTTTTCTCCCACTTTACTAAATTAAAGACACAACTGATACAAGCAGCAAATGGAATAATAATTAAGTTAATTAATTAATAATTGAGTAAATATTTTTTTTTTTTTTAACATCACTTACATGGGAGGACAGGCTGGAGGACTGCTGGAACAACTCTGAAAAAAGTGAGACAGCCGTGGTCTCTAAAGTTCCAGGAAGTTCCAGGAAAAGTACTGCCTTTTGTACTATGGTCTACATTGTCACATGACTTACAAAAAGTGTATTATAATGAAGTAATAAGCTGTGGTCACAATGCAGCAGATCCCTACTCCACCTATCATGGTTCCAGTTTCAGAAAATTTAAATTACAGTGCTTGTGAGAAAAATTGGTAAACAAGCCACAAAAGTAACCAGGTTTTGCTTTTGTTTTAAGGGGACTCACCAAGCAGCATAGCCAGGACTTTCTAGCATACAGCACAGCTCAGTATATTTGCTCCCACACATAAATCCTAATTAAAAGACAGTGAAGGAAGGGTGAATCAATTATATCTTCCCATTTAAAAATACCTCAGTCCCACTGTCCTGCTGTGTCACCAGATTCTCCACGACTTACCTCCTTTCTCTGAAGTCCATTTCCAACTCACTCGAGCCTATTTTTAACATGCACTTTGATGGAAGATTTTTTCCTAACTTAAGTCAACTATCAGCACCGAATTCAGTAGCAGTATTCAGTGAATACAAGGAACTGAAAGGCTAAACATTCCTTTCAAATTATTTATGTAATGTATTTCCCCATTTACAAGAGAATTTAAGCAATAATTAACTTTTGGCATTTTCACCCTCTTTGAAGTATAGAACTCTGCCTTCAACAGTAAGGTTCCCAGTATGGTCTGCTGGTCACCAGTATCTTCTTTGCAGCAGGAAATATATGATCAGCAATCAGTACAGCTGCCAGACTCTCTGAAGCTTGTGAAGTCAGCATTATGAAGACAGACAGTTAGGAGAGCCGAAATTTGTTAAAAATTTTGCAATTAAAACAATCATTCAATTTCAACCTATCTACCCTTATAAACTCAAAATGGCAACATACCCTTCGATAGAATGAGGCATACAAATTCCTTCCAAAAGGCACACACTAGTAACAGTTCAGAAAATGCCTGACTTATATCACTGGCACGAGTTGTCCTTTTATCCAAAGGCTGGGAGCAGCACAGAGGGACACCACAAGCACTATCCGATCTTCAGGTCCAAAATGGTTCTGTCTCCGTGCCATCCCATGCCTCAGCGTCTCTCTCCCTGCATCAGTTCCCCTATGTCTTAACTGAATAAAGACTCCAGTTGCAGTTTGAAAGAGGAAGTATGCCGTGATCAGCACTGTGTGAAAAATATTTGCGGACGAGACCAAGCCCAGGTTGGCTCTTTCCAGATAGAGGCTTCTCCCATCATGCAGCAGTTTCAAGGATCAACCCTCCTGGCACTGTTCTTCCTCTTTGTCTTCACTGTTTCACTTCTTATTTCTTTCTCTCTCGCCCTTCCAAAAAATGTTCCTGTGTTTTTGTTAACTTACAGTCTCTCCAATTTCCCTAGCTCCCCTGCATCCTGGTTTTGTCCCTCCAGCTTCCTCTAGAACTGTCTCAGTGACCCAACCTATTCCTTGTACAGCAGCCTGCCAGAAATTAATCTCTCCCAGAAAGGCTGGTCTTGAGGAAGCGAAAATGCTGTGGCTACTGACTACTCAGCAACTGTAGTGACTGTGGCCTCTACTGGCACAAGGCAGGATACACAGATCCTGCACAAAACCTGACAGTCAGGAGGGACGGGATAACAGAGACTCGTGGGTGTTACAAATCCCACTTTAAGATCATGATCTTCCCAAGATACCAACTTTCCCAACAGAAAGACTCTTTTTACACTAGTTCCACTTAAATCTGTCTAAACAAGGGTTGCACAAGTCACAACCCTTCTTTAAGGTGGAGAGCATGCACATGTGCATATGCTTCTGTATGCCATCAGTAAGCCTCAACAGAAACCAACCACATTTTGTTTGTTTGAGGCCGATTTCTTTCTGGCACAGCTCTGTATTACTAGAGTTACACTGAAGGTGTACAGTGTAGACAGCAAGAAGTGAGTGATGAATATCTAAGTTGTATAAAAACCACCCACTCTCCCCCAAGACTTTCAAACTCTCTTACAATATACTGCAGGAAATCACGCAGAAACATCCAACAACCTTGCTGAATGGCAGCTGCGGTTATAGTGCTAAGCCTACCCTGCCTTTGGGCTTGTGCTGACAAGAGTACCACTACAGTGTGCAGCCATATAAACACAACCCTCAACACACACAAGCAAAATATTCACACTGAATAGTATAAATCGTGCTAGTGTAAACTGTGTTTGAACAAACTTTATTACGAGTGAGGGAGACTTTACCAGTCTTTTATACTTCCCAAGCGTGGATCCCTCCCCCAGGGAACTCAAGGCAGAAGTCAGCTTAGACTCTTCTGACTGCCTTTACCTACCTATGATTTAACTGGAGATTACCGAGGCAGAAGTCTCTACAGAGAAAGCAAGGTAACATGATGATGTTCTCTGTCTACCAAACTTAAAAATGAAAACAAGATCCCGCAAAACAAGGTCAAAATTGTTGTGTTTACCCCGTACTGATAAAAATTCAATTGTTACCTAAACATACAAAACAAGAGTGTACCAAGTCTGAACAGTAATTGCAAGCCAGAAACTTCATGATGCTATTACAATGTTATATATTCTACTAACAGACAAAATGTTTTCTATCTGTGGCACAAATGTGACTTCAAGTGTGGCAGCCGTACTAACTCAGAAGATTCAAAATGCGATGGGTCACACAACTATCAATTCATCATGATAAAAGGTTTTGGCAAACTGGCTGCATTTCAATGCTCTGTATGATGCAAAACTCCCTTCCTAAAAATCCTGGATAGTGCAGGCTAAAAATTGCATCCAACAGCACTAGACAGTACTCTTTCAAATCTTCACCCTAACTTATGGCTAGTAATCATATATAACAATCAGTGTTTTGCTGAAATAAACTGAGTTTCACTTCAGCTGAAACCCTGAGGCAGTTAAAACCCCACTGATTCATGCAGCCCAACAAAGTGCAGGGGCCAGTCAGAAACAAGGATAAGTCTTACCCCAGTACATAATTTTTATCTCACCAAGCTCTTAAAAAGAAGTAAGAATTTAATGCAGTAACAAACAGGAAGGACACAGACATACATAGTAAATGCTCATAACAAAACAACATGACGTTATTCCAGTTAACTCGCAAAATGCTCTGTTAGAAGCTTAATCAAAAAGAAGCCTTGTTTCTCATATGGCTGCATTTTAGATCTTAAAGCAAGAAATGATAATCAGAAAATTTAATGCTTAAAGTTGATCAATCTGATACACCTATACAGATACACTGCTGAATGCAGTATTTCATAGCGTGCAAATCTTCTACCCTAACTTTTCTTCCCAGAAGTGATGAGGAAATGACAGTTCACAGGATTTCACAGAGGGAATACTACACAGCGTTTTGGCTTTACTCAGTTTTGGAAAGATCTCATTGTACATGAGGTTTATGTTAGCCATTAGATGATATCAGTGTGCATTGTGGAACAAATTACTGATTTCAATAGTTAACTGGTTCTCCGTTAAGTTAAACATAATTTAAATTAGAGATGGAAGAAATCCTCTTCCACTTACTACTTAAGCTTTCTCCACTTCATTCCCGCCTTTGTCTTTCTCTATGAACATAGCTAGTGGATTTAGAGGCAGGATTTAGAATTGTCAGCCTGCAAAATAAAACATGTTGAGCCTAAACCAGACCATTAACAATCCTGGTTTAGATATGGAAGGCTACATGCAACCCTTATGCTGTCAGAAAAGCACTTTTGTATCTACAGCTTGTGCAGGTACAAAAACATTTAACGTGATAGAAGCATGCTTCTCCCAACCCCAATAACTCTGAATATAGAGATGATGTAAATAGCTGGCACATGGATTGTTTTAATCATGTCTCCTCCAGTTTCACAGTTTGTTTGGCAAAAAATCTATGAGGCCTTGCCTTGAAGCTAACACTTCCTCAGGCTTCTGGATAACTGCCTTAAAACAGGCAGTGTGGTGAACTGCATTTAAATGAGATGCGCTGATAAAAGGATGTATTTTAAAAGCCTCAATGTTGCTGTGAAGGAGGAGGGTCTCTAGGTATTGGGAATATAAATTTTCTTCTTAAGGTATATGCTGGTTGGGGCATCTGCTTCTTTGTCCCCAAGCGGTCAACACGTCTGCCCACATCTTCATTAACTTCTGTAAGAATCGACAAAATATCTTCACCCCTACAGCCAGAAGGAGAGGAAAAATAAAAAAAAAATTACTTATTAATGAGCAGATGGCACTCCATTTAACACCTCCCAGATCACATAGAAGATACAGTATAAACATTTTAAACACAAAAAACAAAACACATCCTTTTCTCCAAATTTCTCCTCTTTTGTTCTCATTTGAGTCATATTAAAAACAAAAGACCTTTTCTTACTGTGTCTTGCTTGATTCAACCAGTAAAGAAAAATAATGGAATAAAATATTTTTACCTAAATCCACTCAAGAAACAGATGGCTCTGCCTTAAATAAGATGGGCGGTTTTGAGGTTTTTTTATAATAAACTTTACATTCTCCAGATTATCTCTATGGTACTAGCAGTGTTAATGTAAATTTATCAGTGGCAAGCAAACAAATCCATCAGTTTAACTAATTTTGTCCACCTCGGAACATGGGTTAGTGTTCCTATATGAATTTGCCTTTGGAGAAAAAAAAAGGGGAAGTTCCTCCCACTTTTTCATGGAAGAACTAAGCAACGTATTTACCTTGGTACCAACAACTGTAGCTTGCTGCACAGAGCCTGAATATACCAAGTACCCTGTTGAACGTGCCGGAAGGAGACATATCCATCAATTGTGGCCATGCCTAGGAGGAAATCAGCCTCTTCAGGAATACTTTCAGAAGGAGAAATGCTCTGTTGCACGGAAGACAAGTCAGGAATTTGTGCATCAGCTTCAACATAGACAGGACACTGTATCTCTTTACCCTGGCATGCTTGGATAAAGAAGAGTTTGGGTTTTTCAGCCAGCTGCGGACATTGTTTGGCAGTGAAGTGGGACATGATCATGCGGATTGATACAAGTTCCTCATCTTTCCCATAGATCGCCCCTGACTCTCCATGAGATAGAATACAACATATAAAACAGTCGCTGTCTTTGTGATGTTGCAAATGCTGCCAAGTTCGCATGAGATCTTTAATCTCCTGAGATGTCAGATCTGTGTAAGTCCTCACATCCAGACCAAGCCATGTGAATACTCGCTTCAGTTCCCCTGTAATTATAAGAAAAATAAAAGGAAAAATTGAGGCAGAAGAGAACCATTTTATGAAGTCACAATGCAAGCTAATCTGAACAAACAAAGACCTTACACCCTGACACTTCTGCAAATTCATCCTTATACTAGTACCAACTAAAGTTAACCTGAATTTTTCTAGACAAGTTTCAGAAAATACAATGTATAATGACACACTAAGTGAGCTCACAAATGACACCTGAAAATATGAGTAACCCCCCCCCAGTTTCAGATTAGATCTTTCAAAACCTTCCTCACATCATTATTTTCCAGTTGCAGTTTTGACTATAAGAGTTTCATACACAAGAGATAAATAGAATGAACAGAATAAAATAAGAAGTATGCACAGAGTTGCTTGATTATAGAATTTTGCATTATATTATGTAGAATGATGGTTTAGTTTAGTTTTAGTTCTTTATTATAGCTATAGATGAAGGCTAAGTAAAAAGAGATTCTTAAAATGATTCAAGAATGATCCAACTGCATCAGAAACTCAGTGGTTACTTATCCTTTAACCCTTCCTCCCCTAGGATACACAAATGACATAATTTAACACATACAAACATTTTACTCTTTAAGAATATTAACTAACTAAAATACAGACAATGAAATATAGAGCAATACTAGACAATCAACTCAGATGGGGAAACAGAGAGACTAACCCTCCAAAAATCTCACTTCAGTAACTTACCAGCATCTTTGCAAGAACCCTTCCTCTCCTGAAGAGACCTATCGAAGTTAACATTATTAATAACAAGACAAAATCCTCTGTGTGGTCCATCCATTTTGTAGCTTGTCATCTTCTGTAGAAAGGAGAAGAAAAAAGCTTACAGCCTCAATGAATTTATTCAGCTCACTCGTATTTCCTTAACATGTCTCAAAATTGGCATCCAAAAATTACAGGCACCTAAGACTGTGGGTTACTTTTGAAAAGCTGGAACTCAATAGTGTCTCCTTGTGTGAAAAGACATGGGTGAAGCCTCAAGCACACTCTGTCACCATACTATCAAACTGCAGAGGAAAGGTTTAGCAGCTGGGTTGGTCATCTGTATGCAAAAGGAAGGATTCAGCAGCCAAACTCTGCAATCTGAATTGGTGATAGGGATAGAAGTCCCCAACTGTTTCCAATGTCATGACAATATTTTAACTTCAGATGGCAGAGGGTTCACAGTGAAACTATAGGATGTTAGACATTCGAGTTGGTTTTTTTCGAGAGTAGTGATGAATACCTGGAGCAAGTGGTTCATACTGATCCACTGGAAAGGGATGCAAGCAGAACAGACATCTCAGAAGTGCATAAACCTGCCACACTACCAGTTTTGCTAAGACTTGAAAGTTACCTCCCACTCTTAAGAAAGAATGTTTTAATGAAAAGTGATGAAAAAGTATGTTATAGCACAGAACTTCAAGAAATGAAACAGCTATAAACAAATGCAGCAACTTGCTCCCTCAATATCCATTTCCTTTTTTATCCAGAAGGAAAAAGCCAGAGGGAGAATTCTGTGGTTACACTGCTGTACAAGGTTAAAGAGTGCACATAAGGCTTCTAAGAAGGGATCTCACAAAAGGGATCTTTTCTCCTGTACCAAGACCTCTGGTTTATTGAGGAAGATCATTACATGCCTGCAATAGCTTACTAAAAACTCTTGCCTTCTTTTATCCTTCTCACAAGGTCTTTGCATGCTACTCCTTATTGCTTTTAATTTCAAGATGCCCTGAAGCTTTTTCTAAGCCAGATCTAGAAAGAGAGAACTGTGAAGCTATGTTTGTCTCCATGTTTTGCACATTCTGCTGCCATCTCCAAAACACACAACTTAAGAAAATGCCAAATGTTTTGCCTGTAGCAGGAAGATAAGCAGATGCACTGACATGTGGGTAACATCAAAGGTATTATGCCTATTTGCCTCCACCATATCTTTCAATATTGGTAAGCTTCCAGCCTCCAAGGTTAGAATATTCTCTGAAATGTTCCAGTTGATCAGACAACTCAAAAAACTTCGTGAGACACACAGACATCTCACATGTCCTTGCATGATAAATGTCATTACAGGGATGAAGACCTCACACACGCAGGTATTCAACAGGAAGGATTTAAGAGATTGTCTCAAACCTTAGACTCATTTGCTACATTGCTGAATTCTCCAGGCAGCTGCAGGTTCATTTCAGAGAAGCCTTGTGTAAGATTAGCTGCTTTGTTATCTAAGAAAAAAAACCAAACATGGATATTTATGAAGAGAAATCCAATATTGATGGATGTAGCAAAAAGAAGTTTAGCTACAATACAGCACTTTTTGTATCTGAAATACTGTTTCATCGAAAGGAGTAATTCCTCCGTATGAGATAGCATCGTCATGTTCAAAGGATCTATTCTCAACATGTCTCCAGTTATTTTTATTATATATATTTTTGTGACAAAGGCAAGGTTTCCATTTCTATTGGTATTGTGGAACAAAGATATCCATGCTACAAGGACAGATTCTACCTGAGACATTCAAATGAATTTTTCATTTGGTAATCAGCTTAGAAATAAATTGTATTGTAAGAAGGATCTGCAAAGTTACTACTGAAGCTCCCATTACCGATTTTTTTTTTGTTGTTCCTGATCACTGATAATAACACTCAGACCAACTTTCAGAGCAAGGCTGCACTGACAGCGCTTGAAAGTGGAAAAGAGCTGACAGATGTTGTACTGCTATACTTTGCAACTGGTCAATTTGACGTGGAGTCACAAAGATGAATGCAAACTACCCACTGTTATTTGTACAGAATCTTTTCAGAGATCTGATCCAAAATGTACCTTCATTTATTGCTGCTTTATTTACTTCTCCTTCTGAATGCCCTAAAATGCTTGTCTCCTTTTGTATAAATCATACACTATTTAATGCATTCAAAACATCCATCCCTACCACGCAACACTCCCAGGCTCTTCAACATTACAATCTATACAGCAAAAGAAGTCAGAGGTAAAATCCTGCACCCAAAAAATTAAAATATCAGTTTTATAAACAGTCATAGTGTCCCATTCTCTTGTCCTCCCAGGGATATTTAAACAGAAAACTTGTTTTTCGTTTTCAGGAAAGAAATCATCTTTTTGCTTCTAATTAGACCAGCCCTTATTTCACTTCCCAGAAAGCACATTAGTTAGTTTCTAGTAAACGACTGACAAAGTACACAGGATTTGCCAATTTTCTCTTGCCTCTTATATAAGAACAGAAATCCTTCAAATCTATTTGTGCAGAAAGCAAAAGACCCTTACAAGATGACAGCAAGGTAAGTGTGTTGCATTAAACCAAATGCTAGAAATTTCCCAGAGAAAGTAAAGGAATGCAACATTAAACATAAAGGTAATAAAAACCAAACGTATTTTCAGAAAATCTTACCATTGATATAAGAACTGACAGATTTGATTGAGGTCTCCTGTTTTTTGAGTGGGGGGAATACCATGTTAAAAATCATTATTATATACAGTAAGTTTTCATAGTGATTTTAGCAAAATAGGCTTAATACAAAGCTCTTTAAGTAGTGAGTAGGAAAAATACTGAATTTGTAAGAGCAGCAAAGCATTTAATGATGAAATTACAAAAGACTTCTGCACTTACAGCAAATCTCACAGAGCTGGAAACAACTATATTTTCTCTTAAGGATAAAGGGAAAGAGCAAAGAATTTTCTTTCCCTTCCAAATTATCCTCTCACTATAGGTGTAGGCAGTCACTATAAACAAAATAAAGGTCCAGACATAGTCCCATATCAATTCTCTTGGGTAGTCAATTATTTGAGTATAAATCGTTATCACTAGTGATTCTAGTCCTGCCTAAGAGACATCTTCTGGCAGTGTCAATGGTTTATTATACAGCACGGAAAAAGTGTATAACCTCTCATAATTTTAAAGAAAAATCAAACATGATCATCAGGATTATGGAAACAGTCTCTCAGTCTTTTTTTAAAAATTCTTTTAAATCTATGTTTTCTTAATAAAACTACATTTATTTTCTTACTGTGCCATGCATGAAGGCTTCCCCAAACCCTCTGCACATGAAGAGCAAATATAGCTCAAAGCAGCAGTAATGCAAACCCGTCTGATACTAAATAGTTAATTTTCCTCAGCTCTTGTCTACTAGAACTTCACTTCTGGGAAGTATCCTTAGAAAGATCACTGGTTTTCCTCATTCAAACTCCCTCCCTTCCTCTCCTCTTCCCCAAAAAAGAGATCAGTTATAGCCCTGAGAAGTTTCCCAATCTGATTCATCATGCAGCTGCAGGAGGGGATTAACTGATCAAGGACTGGTTTATTGAGAAAATGGGACCACTTCCTTTAGCAGCAGCAGTTTGAACCGATCGTCAAAGTACGATGTTAGCCTTTAGAGATAGTTTGGTGTTGATCAGCTGAAACTTTAAAAATCAGCACCGACTGACCCATTCTCTAGAAGGCACCTGTCTAGCTTTTTCTCTCACTCATCTCTCTTCCTAACATTAATTTTTCCCCAATTGCACATGACCAATAGTATTATTTTTGACTTCCACTATTTGATACTATATACAGCTGTATTTCTTACATGCTGAACAAATATGCTTGTTCCCTTCCTAAACCAAGTAAGAAGATTTAGCAAAAAATCTCACAGCCAGTACAGTTTCAAAATAAAGGCAAGAAAAAAAACCAACCCCCCAAACCACTAAAACCCAAGTTGGCAGTATGTACTCCAGTGTACCTGTGGGGAAGTGAATACTCTGATGTCTCCAGTGTGAGACAGTGAAGATTCCTTGACTGGCAGAGTGTTCTCTTGCTGAGGTAGAGACACTAAGAGCAGAAAGAGACAAAATGAGAGAAGCCAAGTGCCTTTTAGTTAAACCAGTATGAATCTACACATTAGGCAAATGCGGATCTATACTTACTGAAAGATATATTAAAATAGAAAGCAACTTCGAAAGACACTCAGAAAGCATGGGGGAATGGAACTCATGAAACGCTGAGTGCCCTTGCATCTACTGGGGAGATGTAGTTTTGTACTTCCCAGAATTTGTTTCCCAGTGCTTAATAAAGGGAAACAGAACTTTTTCCCCAGTATGCTTATAGTCACTCCACAGAACGTTAAAGGAAGGAATATTACAAACTGCAGTATAATCTGATAACGCGAATCACACATCTAATAATAAAGCCTACCACGTATCAGACACACATGCACACACAGTTTGCCTCGCCAGCTTATTAGCAGGCAACTGTCTGGCTGTAGTGTACTACATTCATATATCACAAAGTGCCTTTTACAGGACAGTCATCATCATCTCAATACTATTCATAGGGAAATGGAGAAGTGCGACATAACTATAAACAGATTTTCAGTTTCCCAGCCTGTTCTGTATGTGCTGGACTGCTCTGTGTGGCCTCAGATATGCCAGCATGTCCCTACTGGAATTCAGCTAGGAAGTAATGCAAACTCGGGACTGTTATGCCAAATTTGTGTGTGAAGATGAGCGATCCCACTCTAGCTCCTGTTCCAGCAATGCACACATAGGACCTCGAGGTTCAGTTGCCCAGACCCTTCTAGTGCTTCCTGCATTTTAGCAAACCTACTTCCTGACTCCGAATTTCTCACCTTTTGCCCTTGTGTAGCAGTTTATTGTTTCCAGGAGATCAGGTGAAACATTCATACAGACTTCTTCCAGCATCTGTACATTGTTTTCACTTAAAAGGCCCTGTTTTTCCAATAAAATCAGCAATTCCAGAGCAGACTGACAGCCAAAAGGAGAGAGTAAAATATAGTTATTGTTCCTTAGAACTCAAAACCTGCCTCAGCCCTGTCTGCCTCAAACAATCACATTATTATCTGCTTTGCTTCCTACCAACAAGGTCCAAACAGTCAATTTTACATCACTGTGGCAGGTGGAAACGTTGCTCCCTGGAAAGCTACTGGTTGCATTATTATTTGGTATGGTCTTGTTTAAACAGATTCACCCAAATCATAATAATGACTCTTGGCTTCGAGAAGGCTTTACTGCTGTGAAATGGTACCAATGGCATATGGACATGAATCTCCTTTGCACACAGCTCAAGCAGGGCAAAGATTTGATCTGTCACCCTTTTATGATCTAATGCAAGACTGTGGACTGTCAGTGGTTGACCTTGGCACAAAGCAGCAAATTCCACACTTACCTGTCAACAGCTTCCTCCTTGCTAACCCTATAAATACTGACCAGCCTAGTTGCAGATTATGCCCTATTCTGCCAAATACTTTTCTCTTCACGCTTTTCCTCCTATTTCCCGCCCTCCTTCTTCCCTTCCTGCCATATATACATTTGGCGCTCTCCTCACATACAAGAGTCATCCGTCGCTTTGGAAGACAGTTTTGCAGGAGGAATATGATATCCTTCAACATCTCATTGGTAATGTTCTCTGACAATTCATACAGCATCTGCCTGTAACAGAGATCCAGTGAGATAAAAGCAGAACAGAAGATGGTGTAGAAACTAAAAGCAATCCGAGAATTTAAAAATGGAAAGGGAAACAGTATGGCACAGATGGCAGTAATAGAGAGAACAGAAACCCACTGCAAGCTTACCTGTACGGAGACACTCTTCCCTTCTCATGCAGACATCTTTGCACTTTCTCCTTGGTATAACCAAATTTCTTGAGCAAGGAGTGACATTTAATTCTGTATAAGAGTTCAGCTAGTAGGAAAGTATCTTCCTCATTCAGATAGTCTTCAGCCATGAGAAGCTGAAAGATGTCCACTGCTGACTTCACACCTTCTAGTTTTTTGAAGGGGAGCAAGTCAGTACAGAGAAATTTTAAAGCTGCTACATCTTCAGCCACCAGATTTTCGTCAATGAGCAGAAGCTGCTGACGGAACTTCAAGCTGACATCATCCTCCATGTTGCTGGAACCAACAGTCTCTCTGGCTGAAAGTAGAAAGCACTAGTAACACTTGAATCTTCAATACAACAATCCTTGTAATAAGATTTCATCCAATACCTGTTTGGAAGCCCTGAATTCTCTGCAGAAGAGGAGTTCCCTTTTAAATAAATCTGAAACTTACTTCCTTCTCCAAACACAAGACTACAACAAAGACCAGATTTGGCAGAATCTGAACAACCCAGTCTAAATTTAAAGTTAGCCCTGCTCTGAGCAGAAAACTGGGCTAGATAACGTCAAGAGGTCCCTAAGCTCTTCTATTTCTTTCAAACATCTTCAACGTTCAGATCTTTGCTTCTCTCCATTGTAGGTGGGAAGAGTCCCTGCAGTAACTTATTACAGCTCTCAGTGGACAGAGCAGTGGTTCACACATATTGCTTGATCTGCAGTCCAAGGGCTCATTCTTCTCTGGCTGTAGCAGGGAGGTGTTCCTCTGTTACAAGCCTGACACCCAAGCTGAAGCTGGGAATATCCACTCCCAGTCATATCTTGCTACCAGACTGTGTTTCACATTTGGCATAGGAAAACCCCAAAGCCTCCCTTATAAGTAAATGTCAACTAAAATGTAATAGCGCTCAGTCTAAATAGGTTCTGCACAAGCAACTCAATCTTACTGAAGTTTAATAGAGACTAATCACCCTTCCACTACACCAACTTCTTCCATGTAGCCTAGGCAGTTCTTTTCTGCCTGTAGAAGGTTATGTAGGTAAAAAGGTGCTTCAGTGCCTTCTGCCCAAATGGGCAGGTAGGTCTTTAATCTTTTGTTTAGAACAGCTGGAAGCAGCAAAGCTTTCTACATGAGGGAGCACAAGAAAAAAAGCAGGGAAGCAGAGCAGGGACAGAACCTCTGAATCTGAAGCCTTTGAAGCATCTGGGAGGACAGCTCAGCAGATAAACCACAGAGGATATCATAGCATATGGGGACACAGAGAAGAAACTTGCATTTTTGTGTTCAGAGGCAGATAGAAAATATGATCCCCAAGCCCAGATGCCCAGTTAGGAAACGAGGTTTGAGACCCAGGAATCCTGAATCGTGTCCTGTCCTTAAGTCAAAAGTCAGAGCCTGTGCAAAAAAAAAGGTCAGATTGCTTTTTCCTGTACTAAAATTAGTCTCCCATAGCTCAGTAACTGTTCTTCACATTCCTTCTCTCCTCATGTGAAATCCCATGCGTTGTGACACCCTCTTCACTTAAACTGCTGTCAAAAAGGTTCAGATCTCAGCCTGTTATCTACACACAGAAATTGTATCACTTCACAGTAAATCAGACTTTAAATTCATTTAGCTAAAAGCTACTTTAAAACCCTATCTAGATGCTTTAATCAACTAAATTTAGCAGAGTAACTTAGGTTAACTGATTCCTGCCTAAACTAACAAGCCTATATAATCCAGGTTCAAACTGAATTACGACAATTCAGAATTTAGAGCCAATGATTTCAGCTAAATGAGTTAAAAAATCATTGCTTTAGGAGAACAGGAGCAAGTTGTGTACACCAGGTGTACATAGTCATTTCACCAGCAAATCAAACTGAAGCACAAATTCCTTCATCTACCTTTAAAATAGTTTTCAAGTCTGTGTTGCTGCCATTCGTGGAAAGCTTTTTTCACTCCAAACATTTCCTGCTTGAGTTTGGAATACCCTCAAGACTTCTCAATGCACGCTGCATTTACTAGCTGTCTGTAACCTCTGTTTCCCGCTCTGTACTGAGGGCAGGCTGGGCTGGCCCTCTCTTCTAGCACTACAATGAAAGGAAATACTGCCGGCTCACTGCCTGCTCACCCGCTGCTCAGCTTACTGATACGGTGTTTTTAGAACCCCCTACCACTTTATGCATTTTACAGGCCGTTTATAAAACAACATGGTAAAAAACAGAGCACTAAAGCAGAGACAGAAAACGAGCAATCCCTGTTCCAGTAAAACAAGACAATGCTAAACACCCAGCACTAACACACACGGGGCCCAGGACCTACCCGCTCCCCAGGTTTGCCACAGCTCACCCTAACATTTACAGCTAGAGCTAAGAGGACATTAGCAGGCAGAACATCGACACACAGAAAGGTGATAGATCAGTGTCTCTAATTTGTTTTGTGATATATCCTTAGAAAAGGAAAACCACGTAAAACAAGCCATGAGGAGTATCAAATTACTACTTTTTCCTTTAAAGTTTTATTGACTGGGGGCACTGCCAGACTACAAGATTTAAGAACGATGCAAAAACACAGAGCACAGAAGAATGCCGAGGCTCAGCCCACAGCCCTACAAGCAAGTGGAGTTATTCAGCTCCAGCCCCGCGGGCAGCCCGGAGGCAGCTGCACAATACCGGAAGGAAGGAGCGGGATTTAGGCTCCGGACTCGGGAACTGGAGCCTTCCTCCGTTCCCTCTCCAGTTCAGTCCCCCCTTTCTTACCGCTTAGATGAATTCCGACCCTGTCCCCTCTCCCGGCAGCTACTCTGGGGGCGGCGCTCAGCGTTTCACGGTTTATTTCCCGGCCAGCCGCGAGCCGGCGGTGCG